TGAGTCCTGTTCTGGGTTCTTCAGATCTACTGGAATGGCATCATGTATTGTGGCCTTGAGGGGTTTTAAGGAAACCTGACACTACTTTTCCCAGACAAAAGTCTTTAGGCAACCTTGTGAGTGAAAGGCATATTAACTTGTGTTTTGGCCTAAGACAGAGGTTTAGACTGACAGCACTGAATATTTAGGGTGTGTGTATCCAAATTCCAGATTGTGTTTCTCAACAAGCAACAATTTAGGAGTCTTGACTGTTTTCTAGCTTCATCATTCATTCCCTAAGGGCTATAAACAGAAGTCTCTGTTTACATTTAAATTCCTGCTACCACCACCATGGTAGATAGCAGCTGAGGTACTTTATATATTCCCAGGGCAAGACCATGAAAACGTTGTTGTCTCTCCCAGGTAAAGAAAAATTGCAATTGATTTATATGAATTATAATAATACATGATTGGCTAGATTAATTTCTGGATCACATTTGAGTGATGACAAAATCAAACCTGTCAGCTGGTGCTTTCATGATGACTGCAACTTAAACCTTCGTAATGTATGTAAACTGCCAGGAGTCTCCCAGTTGTTTAAGTGGCCACAAGGGGGTGATAAAGGACTGCATACTTGCAGGAATCAGCCCCCTTCAATTTCTTCTGTAATAGCATCATTCACCGGGTACCCTGTATTTCATTACAGCATATTTCATCTACCAAGTGGGCTATTACTGGTTCCCATTCAGTGTGTCTGGCCACTCATTCACTATTCTTCATAATGCTAGTATTGGGCTAAGCTTTTCTGTGTTTTTTAACAAGTCAATGGCAGCGATGCACTAAGAGTGGATGTTTATGATCAGGGAGTGGGTGGGGGTGGGCCTTTTCTTTTTTAATTTTAATTTTGAGACAGAGTCTTGCTCTGTCACCCAGGCTGGGTGCAGTGATGTGATCTCGGCTCACTACAACCTCCGCCTCCCTGGTTTAACTGATTCTCTTGCCTCAGCTTCCCGAGTGTGCCACCATGCCTGGCTAATTTTTTAATAGAAAAATTACAGGTGGCTCACACCTGTAATCTCAGCATTTTGGGAGGCTGAAGCAGGCGGATCACCTGAGGTTGGGAGTTCGAGATCAGCCTGACCAACATGGAGAAACCCCGTCTCCACTAAAAATACAAAATTAGCTGGGCATGGTGGCGCATGCCTGTAATCCCAGCTACTCAGGAGGCTGAGGCAGGAGAATAGCTTGAACCCAGGAGGCGGAGGTTGTGGTGAGCTGAGATCGCGCCATTGCACTCCAGCCTAGGCAACAAGAGTGAAACTCTGTCTCAAAAATAAATAAATAAATAAATAAATAGATAGATAGAGAGATAAATAAATAAAATAAAAACGTTTTTGAAAAGTTCTATCTCCACTCTCCAGACAATATGTTGTTCCTTGCTCAGTGGACTCGGGAGGTGGGGTCTGGGGTCTTGGTAAGAATGGGTAAAGGACACATAGAGACAAACTCTGGGATTAAAGCTAGCCTCCTTCTGGACCATTCTATAGACCGAGGCCCTTCAAAACCTTCTAGGCTAGAACAGGGAGCTGCAGTTGAAGTCCAGCATGAGGCCTGAGACCAATTAGATTCCCTGTGGGGGCTTTAAACTTCTTTTGTGCCTTGAATGAATGGCGCCCTTCTATATGTCATTGCTTTTTGCATGAAAAATGTCTGTAGGCTGTTCACTAGTTTGAGATGAAGGCACCTAGATCAAGCATCATGCAGCATCAGGGCCCTCAGTTCACAGGGTGCAGAGTTATCTACATACCACAGCAGATCTACTGCTACCCATGGTAGGTTCAAAATCAGACTGACGACTTACCAGGTGAGCCACCTGACCCACAATGGCATCCTTACAAGCCAATGCTGAGTTTAAATTGCCATTTCAGTTTTTCTTTTTTTTTTTTTTTGAAATGGAGTTTTGCTCTTGTTGCCCAGGCTGGAGTGCAAGGGCGCGATCTCGGCTCACCACAACCTCCGCCTCCAGTGTTCAAGTGATTCTCCTCCTTCAGCCTCTCGAGTAGCTGGGATTACAGGCATGCACCATCATGCCCAGCTAATTTTGTATTTTTAGTACAGGTGGGGCTTCTCCATGTTGGTCAGCTGGTCTTGAACTCCCGACCTCAGGTGATTCACCTGCCTTGGCCTCCCAAAGTGCTGCGATTACAGGTGTGAGCCACCGCACCCAGTCTTAAAATGCCATTTTATGTTCTCTTGTGCAGCTCAGAGAATCCCTAAAGTCATCTAACACAATGATGCTGGGTAAGGAACATTGGAGGAGTCTGGCATTCCCTCCTCTCATCAGTATTAATTCCCCTCTGAATGGTTTTCCAGGAGGGAGGAAATATAGCCTATTCCTCTGATTTATGATTTTTTTTTTCCATGCTTCCATTACCTAGATAAAAAGGAGTTAAGTGCCTACATGACTAAGTGAAGAGTGTTCAATGCTGAGGCCTCCTGATATAATTTTGCTCCTGCTTAATTCTAGCTGATTCACTTGGCCCTTTGATCCCAGAAAAGCACAATGTCACCTGGTACCTCTTGCTTGTCAAGTTATCACAGTCCACAATTGAGGACTCCCTTGGATTTAGTTACAGCAGGATCATGCCTTTGTTTCTCTCCCAAATGGACCTCTGGCTTGGTAAGCAGGGTCCTCAGAAACCCAGTGCAACTGGTGTGTGGAGGTGGTCGAATGAGGTTGCCTTTTCTCAAGCTGTCATTACCCATTCCATTAGGTGGAGCCAGGCTGGTAGCATACACATGGCACACAGAAGCCTGCATCACCACTCCATATTTCTCAAGTTCTTTTGGTTAACTGCCATCATGACTGGAACTAGAACTGTCCCTTTCATATGATCAGAGCCACCCCATTTCTAGAATGGTTAAGAGAACAGTTCCTGTTACTCAAGTTCCTAAGCAGGTTGATCAGATTGCTTCCGTGGGGTTTCCTCTGCCTCAGAAAAGCCAGGACTGAAAGGCAGAGGACATTGCTGCCGGCAGCACTTTACTCCAGGCTATGATTCAACCAAAGGTCTTAACTTCCTAATGGAGTCTCCAAGTGTAAAAGTCTAGGGATAAATCTATTTGTCTTCTACTTGGTATAATGCATTGTGCACCCTGAAGTATAAACCACTAAAGAAACTGCAGATCAAGACCTTCCAACATGGAGGACACAGAGACATCCAGTTTGGCTACTGCCAATTTGCTGCATCTCTAAGACATGTTATCTTTCCTCCACAGTTACACAATGCCTCCTAGTCTCTTTCTTGCTCTAAAGATTGGAACTGCCACACAAGTTCAAAGTCCAATCAGGTGTCTGGAACTCATAGGCTGAAGGGAAGAGAATCAGGAAAGGTGCTCTTCATGAAATCCAGAGTTTTCCTCAAGCCTTTTAATCCCACCCACTTTGGACTGACACAGGAAGTGATTACTACAGAGCTTGCCTATGGGTCCCAGGATGAGGGGTGCTTTCTTTCCCATCTAATATACATTCTTTTCTTGGCACTAGCTCAGCTCTCAGCAGATGTATTTATTTAGGCTGCACTTGAATGTGGCTGTTAATATAAACTTCTGCTTTACTATTTCCATAGCACTCCTCAACAGGGTGCTATTATACAATATTACAGATGAAAACGTAGCAGGTTCTTAATAACTTGGAAAATTCTCCCAAACCTCTTGATCTTCATCAAACTATACTGATGTTTTCCAGAAATGAGCTTATCAAATTTGGGTCTATATTCTGGTGTATACCTCTTAATAGTCTGTCTCACTGTGTTGGAGGAAGGATGAGGTGAGAAAATAACAAACCTATTACTTACTGTCTTTAAGGGGCAACTTTGTGGGGGCTGATTTTGTTTTCCCAAAAACCATATCACCAAAATACAGGCAAGGGCTCATTAGGGCTCACTGGCCCCAAAATAAGACTTTTTTCCCCATACCATCCTTATCCAACTGTAGTAAGCTAAAAAGCTTGCCCTTGTAGATGCATTTCTTTGCATTGGCTAAATGGTTTTAGTGGCATGGCTCGTACAACCAAGTAAATAACTACTACTTAATAGAAAGGAGCCTGGAACTCAAGATGAGCTGCAGAAATCTCTTAATTAAGAGCTGCAAGTTATATGTATTTTTAAGAGACAGAGTCTTGCTCTATTGCCCAGGCTGGAGTGCAGTGGTTCCACCTTGGCTCACTGCAACCTCCACCCTCTAGTTTCAAGAGATTCTGATGCCTCAGCCTCAGGCAGCTGGGACTACAGGTGCGCACCGGCTAATTTTTTGCAGTTTTAGTAGACATGGGGTTTCACCATATTGGCCTGGCTGGTCTCACACTCCCAGCCTCAAGTGATCTGCTCACCTTGGCCTCCCAAAGTGCTGGGATTATAGGCATGAGACACCGTGGCTGGTCATTATTTCTTACACCACTACCACCCCTGGTCATTGTCATCTGTGGCTCTGGTTCCCTTTGGTGAAACACATACCAAAACCATGATGTAGTGAAAGAAATTTCCTGGCTGGAATCTCTGGGCTGACACCCTGTCACTTTCTAACACTCTTGGGAAATTAACCTGAGGCCAAATGTTTTCCATCTGTAAGACAGTGATACTATCAACCTACACTTGTAGGGAAGTGCCTGTGACATAAATATACTTTATGTCACAAGGCTATTACAGTATCTGGTACTTAGGGATAGACTTATGTTGGCAACTCAGTAACAACTGATAAGAACACAGAAGAGAACTCTATGTGCTAATATTGTTAAACTTGATACTCTTTAACAACATTTAATACTACAATCTGATAAATTCTTGGACAACTTTCATTTGCTTTGCCATGAATAGTGGCTCTGGCTGAATTTCTACTCCTGCTTCTATTCTTAAATCAGTAAATGAAAAACAGAAGCTACATATAACAAAGGTTCTCCTCTAAGCGCTGGGTATAACAGCTGAAGCTAATCAGAAGGAATATCTGCAGAATGAGAACTCCAATTAAGAAAGACAAAACGTGTATTTTACTTGCTTCGATTTGGGAGCATAATTGCTCACAAGGATTCATAGATTTTTTTTTTTATTGTTAAGCTGCAACGTACATGGTTTAATACAACAACAAAAAACATTTAATCAAGTGAAACGTAATAAACTGAACAATAAACACTCAAAACATTTTCCATTGGAAACATGTAAAGACGAATATGAGGTTTTGTTACCATCTTACTGCAATTTTCTTATGTGTTACTAGCCTACATACCCCATGTTTTCTGTAATCATGCAGATGTGAATGCAAGTTTGAATGATTAAATAAATGAAAAGTCCGTTTACTGCAGGCAATCATTTCACAAGGCAGCCAAACCGGGTTTAGAGAACAAAACTATTCAAGAAATTCTCCACGTATTTAGGTTCATTTTAGAATCCATGAACCTTAAGCTGTTCCTCCTTGACAATGCCAACCTGTAAAATAAAATTTAATTTAGCAAAATAACTCTGAGAAATATATAAATTCATTATGAAAACACAGGAGAGTAATTAAAAAGAATCACTATCAACAGCTTATTGCAACACTGTTGTCTGTGACATGCACTGCTGATAGCCAACAATTCAACATGTATTTGAATACTTCACATACCAAGAAATATCGTCTGTGTGTATATACAGAAATGATCAGAATACTCTAATGACAAAATAAACCCGACAGAGGTCTTTACTTTCCAAATAAGTACCATGTCTTTACTTCACCTAATTTCCTTCATTCGTATGATTTTTACTTAGTAGAAAACAAATCATGTTGCCTTTAAATACGATTTTAAAAGCAATCTCAAGGTTACACATAAAGCACCCAATCACTCACCTCCAAGAGAAACTGGCAAATGTTTTTTCTTTGGTCACCTTGAAGCTGAATAACCTCTCCGTATTCAGGATGTTCAATCACAGTACCATTACAGGCAAATTTCTGGAAAAGTGCATAAATATACAACAAAATTTAGTCAACTAATATGAGGTTTTATTTCACCATAAGAACAGAATTAACCATTTCAGTAAGCTAGATCATATTTAGAAAAACAGATTTTGTCTTCTATAATCCACAATCCTTCCAACTTAATTTGTAAACCAGGAAATCATTTTATGTGTAACATCAAGAACTAAATATTTCACATTTAAGTTTATTTGAAAGCCACGTGAATCTTCTTTTAAAATGAGAGACCACACCGGGAGAATAACTAAATATTTACATGTTAATTACAAACATGAGAACAGCTTTCTTGGTCTAGTCATTTTCATCCACGCTGATACAAAGGTGTGAATTATAATCCAGTTCAGAGGTGTGCATCAGTAACTCTAATCCTTTCTTCCTAATCCCTTTACCTTTTTGAAAGCTTTCACAAGTTTCTTTTTGTCATAATCATCTGCAATGCCCTGAACAGTAGTCAGTGTCTTTCTGCCGTTCCGTTGCTGGATTCTTATATGAATGTAATCCTCAGTCCCTGCCGGGAGTAAGTCGTCACCCTTAGTTGCATCAGCAAAGGGGTCTGCAAACGGATACAAAAAAAAAATCCAAAGTAGAAAAATATTTTTTAGGAAGTACTTTCCACAAATACATTATACTACCAATCCTGACAGTCATCAGTGAAGGTTCTAGTGTCTTTGCTGTTTCTGCCGGTAGGAATGGAGATGGGGGTGGAGTATTAATAAAACCCCAAGGTACTCTCACAAAAAGAGAAACAGTTGGACAGCTATGTCCATTGTAGAAATACGTTGTTATAGATGTTATCGTTGAATATGGTCCTCTAACGAGAAAAAGGAGACTTAGAAAACCTTAATATTGTAGCCGCTATAAAAATGTGCGTCATCTCGATTACATTCTGATGAAAACATAAACATTCGAATATGCCCACCCTAATCATTTAACCGTAACTGTGCGTTGCCAAAAAAAAAGTAGATTAGATATATATCAAGAGGCGTAATTTTACAAATTGCTACGCAAGCAGAGAAGACTGAACCACTGGCCAGTGACAGATAGAGGCCTGCATCCGCATCTTTCCCTAGGTGCCCCCAGGGGCTGCCAGAGAAAGGGTGCCGATTCGTAATCCCCCCGGCCCGGCATCCCCTTGGCAAGTAGCAGGGCCGATCTAGGAGTCCACGAAATAGGGTCGCCACGGTTTCAAGGGGCAGAAGTGGAGGCGAGAGCCGGGTCAAGGACGGGGCAGGGGGTGGCGCATGGCCCGAGGCCGGGGCTCCGAGAGGAGGGCTCGGAGTCCGGCGCTGTCCTCGGGGAGGGGGTCGCCAGGGGCCCCGTCGCCATTTTCTGGGCGCCGAGACAAAGCCCCACTAGGGGTGCGGGGAGGGCAGAAAGGGGGCCCCTAGGGGCGGTGATCCAGGCGGGCAGCGGGCCCAGAGGCGCGCGGGGCAAGGGAGGGAGGCGGCGGCGACGGGATCTTACCGAAAGATTGGAGGTTCTGGATAGTGGACATGCGATACTAGTGTGAGGCCGGTGAGGGGATAAAATTCCTGCGGGGCCCGCCCGGATCACCGTGTCAGGAGGCTGTAGTGGCGAGAAAACGGAAATAAATAAGGAAACGCTTCGCCCTGGGGTTGGGATTAGGCTGGAGTGGCGGCGGCGGAAGCCGGGAGGAGGCAGGAAGAGGCGAAGGAGGAGGCGGAGGAAGAGGCGGCGGCGACGGATGCGAGGACGCGAGAGAAGAGGCGGCGCTGCGGCTTCTCCCACAAAATGGCCGATGGAGACTATTTAGCCGCGCCCGCCGCCTCTCCCACGTGACCCTCCCGCGCGGGGTATCTTGGGACTTGTAGTTTTCCGGAGGCAGCGGAGCCCGGAAAGCCAGAGGCTGGGGGCTGCCGAGACCTCAATTCCAGTCACGGAGTGCGCCCTCTAGCGCCGGGCGGAAGACCCGGGAAGTGTTCAAGCGGCCGCAGAGCTGCCCAGAGTTCGCAGGTCTGGGGCTGTTTTCCCAGCGAGCTCGTAGGGGAGGACAGTCAAGGGACTCAAGCGTCCCTCTTGACTCGCCTTCTCTCGCCGTGCAGTGGCGGCGCCGAGGGGCCGACGCTCAGGGCTAATCTCTATCAGTCACCCTCGAGGCCCCGGGTAATGTAAGTAAAATCGGGGTGCAGGAACAAAACAAGTCCTCTTGCTCCGGCTTTCAACTCATTGGCCACCCCTCAGCCCTACCTGCATTGAAATTCCAACCCCAGTTGCAGGAGCGGTGTTAGCCTCAACCATGGTTGGAGATGGGAGCCTCTCCTTCCAGGATTGGACGGACCACTTATTCCCTAGCACGGTGGATTTCAGACTCCAGCGTGCGTGTCTGGAGGGCTTGAGAAAACACTGATAGACCCCAGAATTTCTGTTCAGGAAGTCTAGGGTGTGAGCTGAAAATCTGCAATTCTTATAAGCTCCTTGGTGACGCTGATCCTGCCTGCTGGTCTGGGATCAGGCTTGAGAATCACTGCCCAGCTTCATCATGGGCCTGGCATGTAGTGGGGGCCAGGTGTGTGTGAACAGAACATACCACAAAATCAGCTTGTCAGCTCATTGTGTGTGGCTCAGAAGGCTCAACACAGAATTCAGGAAAGATGCCAGGTATAAGCTGAAGGTGAGCTCAGCAAATAGGTTAACTGATTGAGTCATGTACCAGACCGTAATATCTTCCTATCAAGTCACGCACAGAAAAATAAACCCGAGACTGGGAATTGGCTCAGGCAGGTGTTCAGTTGTCAAACTTGGTTGGCTTTCTGGAAGCAAAGAGATAGACTAAAATTTAGGGATTCTTAACTTTTCTGTGTGTGCCATGGCAATCCTGTGAAGCTGCTGAACCCCTTCTCAGAATAATGAGAAGTTAAGTTTTAAGTTCATAAATTACATAGGATTACAAAGGAAGCCAAATTATATTGAAATTTAAAAAATACGTTAATAACATGTATTAATACACTAATAACATTTAGCAAGATTAGGTCATACTATAATTTCAAAAAGCTGATAAACGTAAGAGATATTTTGTGATGTCGGTAACATCAGAAATTTAATATGAAAGTATATGTGACTTCTGTTGGTGCAAAGTGACAGGTCCTTTTAATACTATTATGTTGCCTTTATTCATTATGGAAGGAAATGGTAAATTTTGCTTAGAGGTTAATGAAAGTACAGATGTAATTTTTTTTCCCCATCCAATTTTAGGGATCTCCATCCCCGCAGTTTCACCCATGGGCCAAGGATCTGCAGAACCCAGATTAAGAATACCTGAATGTGACAGTCTTTTGTGATTAACAATGATGATAAGTGCCACTTATTTAGTATTTACTATTTGCCTGTTACAAAGCTTATATATAACATTATTAATCTTCATAGCTATTTTATAAGGTAAGCATTACTCTATGCACCAGGTACGGAACTGGAGGCTTTTGTAGGTTAATGCCTGAAAAAAAATCAAATTCTTAACTCTCAGACATCTAACCACATTTGTGGTCTTCCAGCCCTGATTCAAATGGAAAACACTCTTCTTATCCCAAATTGAGGTGTAAAGTTCTAGAGCTGGCTCCAAAACAAGGAGCGTCAAAATATCTAAATAAGTGTGCTTTAAAGTACTTTTATTAGTTCAATTTTGTGCCCTACTTTGATACTCTAGCACTCTAATTTCTAAATAATTTTTAATCTAGATAATGCATCTCTATTTGTTTCTTTCTTAGTAGATGTACATGAGTATTTTACATTACTTTATTTCTCAGAAGAAGCCGAAGGTGATCCAGTGAAGAAAAAATTACAAACATAGAGAAATTAAAAGAAAAATTCCAGAAATCTTAGGGTTTCATGGTCATTACCCCTGTCAGGAGAACTCATCTTTTCTTAGATTTAGTATTTGCATCAGAAACCTCCAGGAGTAAGAAAAAAAAAAAAGAAAAAAGAAACCCCCAGGACCTCAGAAATCTTTAATCAGAGCCAATATGAATACACATCAGATACAGTTGTGGTTCTTAAGGCTCTTCTAACTCTCATGATTCATAGTCTTTGTGTTTAGACCTCCAGTGTCCAGTACAGAAACCACTAGCCACATGTGGCCATTGAGTACTTGCAGTATAGCCGATTTAAATTGGGATGTGCTGTTAAGTAGAAAATATACAGTAGGCTTCCAAAGACTTCAATTGTCTTAATTTCACCTATTTCTTTTTACCTTTTTAATGTAGCTACTAAAGACTTAAAATTACATGTGGCTCATGCTGTATTTCTACTAGATAGCACTGGTTTGGAGTGAAAGAATTTGACCTGTATGTGAAGTTATCATAAAAAGAATAAACTGAAGCATTTAAAATCTAGTGTTTTTAGTTCTAAATGGTACCAGCCTAGGTTAAGGTAATTATTTCTTGTCTTAATTCAGAAAAGCATTTGAGATCACTCACAGAGAACAGTTGTGCTGAGTAAAGGAATTATAGAAGATAATAATTGAAAAAGAAAAGCACCTAAAGCTGAAGGTAGAACCCCAAGTCTGGTTCTAACTTTCTGATAGTTAAGACAAAGAGGAAATCAGCTAGAAAATCTTTATATATACAGGATGAAAACATACCAGTTGCGCAGGAGGAATAGCTTTGCCAGGCCCTGAACCACAGGAGGTATTATTCTTGGGCCCTCATAAAGGGAACACTGTGATGTAGTGGAAGCATTCCTAGCAGTTTGCCCACAGTGAAGGCAATGGTGGGTTTTATGCAGCTGTTTCTTGTATCTGCTGGTCATGAGGATGTGTTGTCTGATTAGAAACTTGGGTCCTCATCCATCCTTAGGCTGCCTACCGTGGTGGATGTGATAATGTACCACTCAGATTTCCTGCTTCAGTGGGCATAACTGATGAACAACCCCAGCTGCTATGCTCTGAATTCAGCATTGCATCCCGCTGAGGCCACACTTCCCATCAGCCATTCCTAGCCAGTGACTGAGCACAACAAAGATGCTATGGCAGTCCTGTTCTTGGGAGATGTGGAACTCCTTTGACAGTCGACTCTGGCTCAAGGACTCTCCATTGGCCTGGCTGAACTTTCTTAGATTTGTGCTGACGTCTAAGATTCTTCTAATTCAACCTTTCTTCTTCTGTCCTTCGCAGACATTTCGCCCACTAAATTTCTTGCACATCTAATCCCATCTTGATGTCTGCTCCTCAAAGAACCCAAACTGATAAACCTGACTCCAGACTGGTTGGTAAAGGACAATAAGTAGAAGGAAAATTCCAATTTAAATAACTCTGGTTATTACTACAGAGCTTTTCCTCCAAACTGTAAACTCTCCTGAACTGTGCTGAATTTCATGAGGCTAAGAGAACTTCCGCATAGCCTGCATGAAGGCTTAAGGCCCTCTATGTAAAAGCAGGCCAGGCAGGCTTTTTGTCTCCTGAGTGTGTGCCCTAAAACAAGCCCTTTGTATCTTGCATATTTAATGGTAAGAAAATGTGAACATATTGAAGGGGAAAAACAATGTGTGCCTAGTACTTTGAGCAGATATCCAAATCTCGCTATGGACAGCTTCTGCCCTCCCACAATTGGGAAGACTCCAGGGTCTCTTTACTGAATTAGCGAAATGGGAAATCACTATTCCCAAGTGACGAGTCAATGTGACTGGTATTTCCAGGAGACCAGCTACAAAGCGAAACCCCAAAGAATGAATGTCCTTTGAGGATCATAACTAGTATTTCTCACATCTCAACTTTAAATGAGAGTTAAGTAGCTGACAGTTTAAAATTACATTTCCTGGCTAGAACTATGTTGCCAAGTGGTTAATAATGTGCATGGTATGAATAAAACAGAATTTAGTTGCTATCTCTGTGTCTAAAATACATGATTATTGAGTCACTGTTTCTGTAGAATGGATCAGAAGAGCCATAGAAGAGAAAGTCATAACCTAGGCCTGTTTCCTAATATCATATGCTTTGTACTCTTCCATTTTCCTGGGAGAAGAGTAAGGAAGGTGGGTGAATGGGCTCTGTATTTGTAGGCTCTTAGTTAAAAACATTAATAGTGACGATGATCAACATGCTGACAATTAGCACATTGTATGTGCTAATATATCCACAGAGTATAATATTGAACAGAAACCAAAATTATGTACGTGTTAAAGAGTCAATAGTTTTTCTTATTTTCAGAGAGCTTTTGAGTCTAAAAGGAGAGTTAAACCAAACCAACATGTAATTTATAAAGCATATCAGAATAAGAAAATTTCAAGGCCTGCGAGATTGAAGACTAAATGAAATTAACTCAGTAAATATGAGGAAATTTTCCTAACATAGTAACTCCCCACTGGTGATCTTAATTAGGAGGGAATGTAGATACTTGGCCATGTCACATAGCTTCTAGTCTAAGGAAGGGGCAGTATTGCATTCAAGTTTCTTCTACTTCATTCTACCCTCCTGCTGTCAAGAACTGTGAAGAGTCTGAGATTTTATCCTACTTGCAAGCTAACAGGTTAGCGTGCCACAGTTTCATGGGTACTGAAACTGAGACTCTTGCGTTAGAGACAGGCCTTTATTACTCATGACAAAAGCAGTAGCCAGAGCTTAGTGTTAATGCTAGTTTCCTATGTCCACAAATCTAAGACCCATGGATTGGACCCAAGTCCAACACAGGTGGGTCTTGATTGATGCCTACACATGCAGTGGGTTGTATTACAGGAGAGGAACACTGTGCTTATGGAGTCTGTTGCTTTTATTATAAGCAGTAACAAGCTTGTCTTGGGGGGCGATATTACCTCATCCCTCGGGACTGCTCCCTGCAAACACGACTCTGAGAAAAGGCCAAGGTAAGACGTGGTCAGGGCCTTGCATTCTTGGCAAAACCAATAAGAACATGCAGGCATCCTCAGGGCCATGGTGAATTACCTCTCCCCAAAACTGCTTACTCTCCTTTCATGATGGAGTGTTGATAATTGGAGGGGCAAGCTCTAGGGACATTGGAATGGACATATTTACTAGAGGACAAGACTATTGTATGTTGACAGGCCATGTACATAAATGCATCTCACTTTTTATCCTCTTTTCTCAAATCCCTGGAAGTTCTGTGGGGCCGACCTGACCACTTTCTTTTCTCCCTTTTATCTCCTGTGGCTTGGAGCTTTCTCATCTTTTCTGTTTCCCACCTCCCGTAGAGCCAGCTGGTCCTACGAGTTAAGTTGGGGTTAGGGAAGGGATTTGGCTTCAGAGGCCTCCAATCCTTGGCTTTATGTTCCAGCCCAGCTTTCCTAACAGCTCTGTGTTGGGGTTTCAGTCATAAGCTTGACCTGCAATCATGGTCTTTTTCTTTCCTTCACCACTGACACTTGAGAATTTATCTTCCTTGTGGACTTCTGGGGCAGTAGTGGCTTATGGTCCAATGTGTGATTTGAATATACCTGGATCCAATGGCTTATTTATGCTTTGAATAGAATGTAAGGGTCTAGGCTTGAGAGTTAGATCTGGCATCATATTCTTGTATAGCCATGAATAGCTGTGAAAACTTTACCTCTCTAAGTCTCAGTCTTCTGTGAAAAGGACATCATCATTTATACCTCAAAGGATTCTGTAATGAATGCATCAGAAAATGTATCACAAGCACTTACTAGAGTGTATGGCACAGAAGATGAAGCTTTATAGTTCAAAGCCTTTTCCAGGAGTTGTACAATGAGAATGCTTGGAAGTGACTGATTCTGATGTGAGGTTGGGGCAGTTGCTAGAACATTATACATTTTTCTGGTGTTTCCCTTTTCATTTCCTGTGATCCTGTGCTCTTGTGAAATCTCATTACAGCCCTGGTCACTTTGGTTCATTACAATAAAATTTTTCTTGGAATGGTGTCAGTCAGTTTATGCAACTTGATTACACTGGAATAGTGCAGGAAAGGTGGATACAGAATAAATAACAGAAATAAAACCCCTCTGCTGCCACAAGATTTATATATATTACCCCCTTAGGAAAGGACAAGTATGTACATGGTGGGGTGCTTGAAGCAAAAAGGCCCACCCGTTGCCACTCTCTCCCTACATTCATGCTCACGTATCCATCTGCTCCGGGGTAGATGTGGGATAGCATATTTCCCCCCATAAAGGTTAAATTATGTCTGTTTTTCAGTAAGACATAACCTTGACATTGCCAGATCCATTTCTGGCAACTTATGCAACTCCCATCTAAAAATAGACATTCTTAGAATCACATCTGTTTAAATGGGAGTAATTTCAATCTTATTGAAATAAGTTTAGAAAATGTGTTTGAGTATTATTAATTGTAGAACTTCATTGTGAATGAACTTGGGGACTTTTGCTTAGATGTTGATTGTAATCTCAGTTGATCTGGAGGTGGAACCTTCAGTCCTTTCTTGTCACCATAGAATGAACTTTAATGGTAGTATATAACAGTATATCTTATCTACAGGCACATATTTCTTTAACATTAAAATAGTGACTGCATCTTAGGTCATTTGCTCCATGAAGCATTGCCGGTGTAGAACTGAAACATTTAAAAGAAGGTCACTTTAAAAAGAGGTCTTACCCCACAGTTTTTCTGCTCAATATAAAAGCTGATTAAGCTTCCTGAGAGAGTACAGGAGGAGGCAAATTCCTCAAGGAGAGGGGATAAATTGTTTTCATCATTGTAACTAGGGCCCAAAAATGCCTGTTCATAGGATGTGTTTAGTACATGTATTTTGTACCACTTTACATACAGTATTAGAACTTAACAAACGTACATCTACTTCTTTCCTCCAAGCCTTTTGTGGTGTTATACATTTTAGTTTTGTACTACATCATTCTTATTTTGTTTAAAATGGTTAATTATCTTTTAAAGAAGTTTAATAAAAATGTACCCAAAAAGTTACCATTTCTAGTGCTTTTCATTTTTTGTGTAGATCCATATTTTTATCTGGTATTTTCTTTCTGCTGGCAGAACTTCCTCTGTTATTTTTTGTAGTTATTTTGAAGTCTGCTGGCAAACTTCCTTTGTGGGTCTGAATGTGATGAATTCTTTCAGGTTTTGCATGTCTGAAATATTTTTATTTAACCTTCATTTTCGAAAGACCGGTTTTGTTGGGTATAGGATTCTATGTTGACAATTGTTGTTGTTTTCTAATAGAGATGGGGCTTGCTAGGTTGGTTGCCCAGGCCGGTCTCAAACTCCAGGCTTAAGTGATCCTTCCCTGTTGAACTCCCAAAGTGTTAGGATTACAGGCTTGCACCATTCATGCCTGGCCTTTTTTTTTTTTTTTTTCTTTCAGAACTTTAAAGTTGTGGCTCCACTGTCGTCTTGTTACATTGTAAACAATGAGAAATCTGCTGTCATTGTATCTTTGGTCCCTCATATGTAAAATTTTTTTTTTCTCGGACTATTCTTAAGATTTTTGCCTTTATCACTAGTTTTGAACAATTTGAGCAATTTGATTATTTGTGCCTTGGTGTAGAGATTTTATGTTTCCTGTATTTAAGGGTCATTAATATTCTTGGACCTCAGTTATAATTTTCTTCAAATTTTGAAAAATTTTCTCCGTTACTCCTTAGAATTTTTCTGTCCCACTCTTCTCTCCTCTACTTTGGAAACTCCAGTTACACATATTTAAGGCTAAAGTTGTTCATAGTTCACTGACGCTCTCTTGTTGTTGTTTTTTTTCTTACTCTTTTCTCTCTCTATATGATGGCTTTATAATACAAAAACTTGGCTAAGCTGAACTACATTTCACAGACGTTTCTTTCTTGTGTGTTTACAGATTGGGTGGGTCACAAGAACTCATCTTGCATGATTTGGAAGCTGGAAGGAAAGAAGCACTTTTGTAGCTGACTCACCTCAATGGCATGAACAGCGTCTGAGCCTACAACTGCGCTACCTTCTCTGGATTTTTCTTCACTTTTTCCTCACTCATGAGCCAGGTATGTGTTTTTAATTCCATAAAAAAGAGCCCTGGCCAGGTGTGGTGGCTCACACCTGTAATCTCAGCACTTTGGGAGGCTGAGGCAGGCAGATCACTTGAGCTCAGGAGTTTGATACCAGGATGGGCAACATGGTGAAACCCCGATGTATAAAAAATACAAAAATTAGCCAGGCATGGTGGCATGAGCCAGTATTCCCAGCTACTCAGTGGGCTGAGGTGGGAGGATGTCTTGAGTCTGAGCCGAGATAAGTGCCACCGCGCTCTAGCCTTGTTGACAGAACCAGAGCCTGTCTCAAAGAAAAAAAAAAAATTACCATTGCACCAAGGTCAAAGGCAACAAGAAAAGACATGGATTTCAGTCTATCCTCATGGAGTTCTAGCTCATGATTACAGGGTTTCAGCTTGCTTGCGATAGTCTTTTCCTGATATTCCCTTACTGACTTCCTTCCCTATGGACTCTATATCAGATGCAGAGACACAGCCTTACAGAAGCTGCTTAACCAGCCTTCATAACTGCATAAGCCAATTCCCTGTAACAAGTTTCTTTATATATGTATGTATGTGTTCGACTAGAGAAGCAGGACCAGTGTGAGATATACAGAGGTACTATTCCCAGACTGTGTGTATATTGCATACTGATTCCCCTTCATCTTTTAGGTGGTTATTTCCTGGGCTTCACAGTTTCCTTACATTCATTCCTTACATTAGTATTCTGCTGAATACATGGGGAGGACTAAAGAACTTTCCAGTGTTCCCTCTCTGTGAAGCCCTCTCCTCTCTTATATTCTGTTTGCAAACTCTAGCTGCTTTAATATTTTTGCACTCCACTTTTTCTATTTTCGGCGTCTGCTGTGGGTCTACCTGTGTTCCCTCTCTGATGTGACTAGAATATGTTCCCCAAAGTTTGTGTGTTAGAAGCTTAATTTCCAATGTAACAATATTGAGAGTTGGGACTTTCAAGGGATGATTAGGTCATGAGGATGATTATTAGGTCATGATTAGGGCATTAGCTCTGCCCTCATGAAAGAATTAATGTTGTTGTTATGGGATTGGGTTAGTTATTGCAGGAGCAAGTTCCTGATAAAAGGATGAGTTTTGCTCCCTTCCCCTGTGTGCTCTCTTGCCCTTCTGCCTTCTGCCATGGAATGACTCAGCAAGAAGGCCCTCACCAGATGCACTCTTCTTGACCTTGGACTTCCCAGTTTCCAGAACTGTGAGAAATGAGTTTCTTTTCTTTATAAACTGCTGAATCTGTGGTATTCAGTTATAGCAACATAAAATGGACTAAGACAGAAAATTGGTACTGAGAAGTAGGGCTGTTGCTATAATAAATACCCACAAATGTGGAAGTGGCTTAGGAACTGGATAATAGATAGAGGCTGGAAGAATTTGGGGTAGCAAGGTAGAAAAAGCTTGGATTGCTGTGAATGGTGCATTAAGGGCAGTTCTGATGAGGGCTCAAAAACAGGGAAGACGAGCGAAAGTCTGGAACTTCTTAGAGATTACTTAGGTGGTTGTGACCACAATAATGAAAGAAATACGGACAGTAAAGGCCGTTCTGATGAGGTTTCAGATGGAACTGAAGAACAAGGTATTGGAAACTAGAGCAAAGGCCACCCTTGTTATAAAGTAGCAAGTAACTGGGCTGAACAGTATCTGTGCCCGAACCCTTTATGAAAGGTGGAAGTTAAGAGTGATGAACTAGGATACCTGGTGAAAGAAATATCTAAACAGCAAGTCCTCCATGCTGCGCATGGCTACTTTTAACTTCTTACAGTAAAATAAGTTAGGAAGGATACGATTTAAAGACAGAATTTATCATTAAAAAGTCTGTATACATTCTGTCTTGCCCTTCTGCCTTCTATTGTGGGATGATGCAGCAAAAAAGTCTTCACCATATGCAAGCCCTTCACCTTGGACTTCCCAGCATCCAGAACTGTGAGAAATGAATTCCTTTATAAAATAAATGACGCAGTTTGTGGTATTCTGTTATAGTAACACAAAACAGACTAAGACACCTTTTCTGTGCTCCAGCCTGGGACACTCTTTCAAGGCAGAAAGATGGGCCAGTTGCAGGGCTCACCTTATTTGTTTCCCATCCCTCAGGAATCACCGTCCTTTGTTTGATGTGGAGTGTCTTGAAAAACTATTGTTTCTTATATTTTGTCCTGTGATTTTGTTGTTTTAGATGGAAGAGTAAATTAAGTCCCTGTAACTTCATCTAAGTTGAAAGCAAAGTTTCAATACATGTATTTTGAATGTAAGAATAAATTTCTCTTTGGCATCTATCATGAAATTAAACCTTGAATTGTGAATATATCTGATACTTAGGGAAAAAACTAACTTTTTTAGAGTGATGACCCTTTATCCACCAGTGGTGTGTGTGTGTGTGTGTCCATGTGCACACACACATAGGCACAAATTTTTTATCTACCGGTGGTGTACATTTGTTATTGTACTAAAAACCTTCACTTTAGAGCACTTTTAGAAATGTGTATTAGTGTTGTTTTATAGCAAGGAATCTTTGGTTTGTTTTATGTCTAGGAAATGAACCAACCTGTAAATTGTGTAATTGTGTTTTTGTTATATTAGTTTGCCCATCTACTCACTTTTATAATTGAAACCTGGCAAATTTTCTTAGTGTTTCCAAGTGCTATATAGGAAGTTAAAATACTGTGAATACTAGGTAAATATGAGTTGACCCACTTTATAGCTAAAAAGAGAAAACATTCTGAACTGAGATACACACTAAGTAAGCAAAGGGAGTTGCTACTGATATTTTGTATTCTCCACCGTGGACCAGGAAAACTGCCAAGCATTTTGTATTATTTATTTACTCTTTATAACAGCTTTGTAAGTGGAGTTTATTGTCCCATTTTACAGATGAGAAAAATGAGACCCCCAATAAATTTATTACTTGGTTAAGAATATACAGCAGGTGTCATAGCTAGGATTTGAACTCAGGTTTGTCTGCTTCCAAATTTCATGTTTTTTTTTTTTTTCTCATGTTATAATTCCCTTATGGAGGTTAAGCATACCATTGAAGTCATGACATTTAGTGGTGTTTTCACAGGGAAAGAATGAGTAAGTCTGGCCGATTGGTGATGTGCAAGACATGGACCAGTACAATACAGTTTCAGTGGTTACTGATTAAAGGCCTATAGTCATTCATGAATAAAGAAGTCACTAAAGCTGGTGTGCAGTATACTAAAACTGGTTTATCATAATCATAGGGTTTAGTTGATAACAAGTGAAGTATAAAACTGTAGTGTTTTAATTGGTTAGAAAGAAAAAAGTGATTGTATCTCCCTTATTTTCATCATACTCAATGTCGTATTTCTTAACCTTACCCAAGCACTGAAACAGTCCAGAAATTCCTCCCTAAGTGAAGGGTATGAATAAGTTCATTGACTCAGTTACAGCATCAATCAACTTTTACTGAGGGCCTGCAATATGCTTAGCACTCCTCCAGGTTTTGTGATGAGGTATGTATGTTTGAATCGATTAGAGAATAATTCAATATGTGCTATAGATCAAAGGTTGAAAATACAGGTCTACCATTGTTTTTAGAAAAGTGAATTAATTGTATATTTCATATGAAAATTCAGATTTATTTCTTCTTTTAAGAAAAAATCTGACTTTCCAGCTTATATTTAAAAAAATTAAGAAGAGCTGGTAGCAATTGTTGTACCTTAGATAAGGGATGGGTTCTTGAATTTGTCACAATAACTACTATGTCCTATTGGTTCTTCTACAAGGAAGCTAAGTATCAATTGTCATTGCAGTTGTCACTGTTGATTGTCAAGAATATTGCCTGACTAACTGCTGATGGCATTTGGTTTATAGCCTCTTGCTGTAGATTTAGAGAAGGTATTATAGATGCTTTTATGCATTTTGTTTAGCTCAGAGTTTCTTGAGAGTTAAGGGGGGAAGAAAATAAACAAATGGACTTTAGAATGTAAGACTGGCTTTGGAAGAGAATCTATAGTTGGATAATAAAACTAGATGTTGAAAGAGAAGTATTGATCAGAGGAGGATTTCAGGAAAGAAGTATGTAGAAGGAATGGGTAACAAGGTTGTTGGAAGGAAAATTATCTTGGTAAAGATAGATGAAAGAAAGAAGATAAATGGAAAGAAAGGGGAGGAAAAAGGGGAGAAAGAACAGGGGAAAAAAAGCAGGCAAGATTTTCTGTGGAAAGAATTGCATCCCTATGACAACAAAAGTGAGGAATGTCAAGAGTATAGTGGACGCTTAACCAAGTAGAGTTTAGGTCTTGGTCAAATAGAGGCTCACACATTGTTTTTTAAAAAAGTAAATTAGCTATCATTTTTCGTATAAAAATCCACATTTCTGTTTTAAGAAAAATCTGAATTTCTAGCCTGTATATATATGTGTGTATATACAGATATATATTTAGAGATAGGGTCTCACTCTGCCATCCAGGCTGGAGTGCAGTGATGCAATAATAACTCACTGTAATCTTGAACTCCTGGGCTCAAGTGATCCTTCCATCTCAACGTCCCAAGCAGTTCCTTAGAACTACAGTTCCCTTAGAACTGCAGGTGTGTGCCACTGTGCCTGGTTACTTTTTTCTTTAGAGATGGGATCTCACTATGTTATCCAAGCTGGTCTCGAACTCTGGCCTCAAGCGATCCTCCTGCTTTAACCTCCCAAAGTGCTGGGATTACAGGTGTGAGCGACTGAGCCCAGCCTCCTAGCTTATTTTCTCTCTCATCAAGGCTGATTTATAGAGACTTCACTTCTGATTACTGAGGTTGTGGGATTCCTTCCTTATGTAATGGAATTATGATGAGAAAAACTATCAATAAATTAAGAAAATAGTAAAAATGGAGCCAAGTGTGATCTAGATTGTTCCGCCTTAGGGGACATTTTGGGAAGAGTTTGTGCCAAGGGAAAGGGTGAAGTCACCAAGGACATAATTTGCACTTTATTTTAAAAAGTTAAATTTATACCTTTTTTCTCAAGAAAGATTTGGT